GAGGAGGATGGTCTCTGGCTGGTATTGATCAGCTGGTAAATTATTCGGAACAATGGCAGATGGAATTTAATCCTGATAAATGTGAGGTGATGTGTTTTGGGAGGTCTGATGAGGGAAGGGCATACACAAGGAATGGGAGGTGCCTAGGGAGGACTGAGGAACAAAGGAAACTTGATGTATAAGTCTGCAGATCCCTGAAAGTGTCAGCATAGGTGACAGCTGAAGAGGCATACTGGATGCTTACCATCATTAGCCAGGGCGTAGAATATAAGAGGAAGGAACTCTTGTTATAACTTTATAAAACATTAGTTAGGCCACAACTGGATTACTGTGTGCAGTTCTGGTTGCCACGCTGCCAGCAGAACATGATCTCACTGGAGAAGGTGCAGAGAAGATTCACCAGGATGTTGCCTGGGGTGGAAAGTCTCCATTATGAGGAGGGACTGGATAGACTGGGTTTGTTTTCCCTGGAGCAGAGGAGGGTCTAGGGGAATCTGATTGAGGGATACAAAATTGAGAGGTATAGACAGAGTAGGTCGTGACAGTCCCTTCTCAATGTGTCTAAGACCAGGGAGCGTACATTTAAGATGAGTAAGTGGTTTAGGGGAGATCGGAGAGAGAATCTTTTTCACCGAGTGTGGTAGATTGTGGAATGTGCTGCCTGAGAGCGTGGTGGAGGCAGGTACCCTCTCAACTTTGAAGAAGCATCTGGATGAGCATTTAAAATGCCTGGGCAGAGTCATCTGTGGACCAAGGGCAGATAAGTGGGATTAGTATAGTTTGGTGTTTGTTGGTCAGCATGGACATGGTGGGCCAAATGGTCTGTTTCAATGCTGTATGTCTGAGTAGTTAGGCTCTGGAATGCACTGTCTGGAAATGTGGTAGCAGTAGTTTCAGTTGAGGCATTCAAGAGGATATTGGATGATCATTTGGACAAAAGTAATGTGGAAGGGTATGGGGAGAAGGCAGGAGTTTGGCAGTGGGTAACAGTGCTCATTTGAAGAGCCACTGTCAGAACAGTGGGCCAAATGGTTTCCTTCTACACCACGAGGATTCTGAGTCTCAGCATTAATAATTCAACTGAAATGATCATCTCTGCAGTTTTAATGGAGAAACATAATATCCAAAATGTAATTTATTTTTTCCCTCTGTCTTCTCTTTCAGAAAATATTCTACATTATGATCTGTGTTGTGGTCCTGTTAGTCATTATTGCAATTATCATAGGAGTGACTGTGCCGTCGTAGCGGTCACGTCCAATGGAGCCGTTCACCAGGAAGAATTGCTAACAGGTCTTGCATTGCTGAATCAGGCTAATCATGCAGCTGAGCCTTCTAAAATCACTCTTCCCCATCCCACCTACCGCCCACCCCACCCCCCTTTCTTGTTCTGGGATGATGCAAGTGTAGCAACAGCAAACAGCTGGACTGCTTCAGACCAAAGCATTTACTGCCATTAATTGACCAGTTGTACAGTTCTTGACCATTTTTATACCATTGTAATGTTTACTTTTTTTAAAGTTTAGAAATTTGCTTTGGAAACTGTTTACTTTATAAAGATTGCATTAATTGACATTGGTGACCACGTGGCTGCCATTTAAGGAAAGCAAGCACAATGCCATTTGCATCATCTTTTTGATTAATGAAGAAAAGCAGATTGTTTTCTGTCCCCACCCCCCCACTTCGTGGTCAACAAGCGCTGACACCCCAGCGGTCAGCTTCTCCATCTCTCTCTCTTGCGCTCGCACACATGTATTTTATAAGAAGCATTGAGTTGAGCCAACCAGAATGTGGCAGATGCATTGACAGTAACTGGAAGTGAGTCTGGAAGGCCTGACTAGATGCTGACAACCCGACTTATTGTTTATTGTAAGGGAGGACCACCACAAGAGGTGCTGTGGTGTAATGTTTTCACATTGGGCTTTGGCCAATGGTTAAAAGACCTACAACCACATTCCACAACAATTGTTCATAAGTTAGGAGCTAAGTGTTTTATTAAGGGTTAAATTTAGTGATGAAAACGTGCAATGCCTCCCAGAACAAAGAGGCTTGTTTACACTTTTAAAAGGAAAGTTAAAAACAACTCCACTTTAGCAAAC